GTTTTGACAAGATCCTTTTCTTTGGCTTACCAGAGGCCTTCAGCTTTAGATAAGAAGGTGAAAAGGAAAAGAGGTCTGTCTTTTAGAGAGTGAGTCAGTACTCATTGGAAGGAATGAATGGACCTTACCTCAAAAGATTTGTTGCTGTCTTATGACTCCTTCTACCTGGAGCAGGAACTGGAAGTCTTTAGGGTGTATCTTTAACTGGAGTTTTTTTGTTAAGAGTTTTAACCCTTTATGGCCGGGGATTTAACTCAGTGGTTTCACCGCCTGCTGGCCTGCTGCGCAAGCACAAGGACCCGAGTTCGATCCCTGGTACCAAAAAAAAGAGTTTTAACCCTTTTGTTCCTAATGGGCAGTCACTATAGTTAATTCAAATAATTGTGTTTTTACAGTTTTTATATGATTATTTTGGGTTTCTTTTGGTAGTGAGTGACGTTGGAACTATTTTATCTCTATTTTCTTACTCATTTTCCATTGCATCCTACAGCAGATATTTGTGAGATAGCCCAACAAGACTTGAAGTACTCTATTGGTCCTTTTGAGCACTAACCATTAGCAGGCCTCAGTCTGAGACTCCAACCAGCCCAAGTCCAGGAGGCAGTGACAGTGCCTAGAAGACGAATCTTTCCACCAACTCCAAATGATGCAAATGTATCTCTGCACCTAGCCCCCTTTGAATAATCTACTTCTCCATAGCTTGGGGGTGGGGGTCTCTTAGTGGCTACTTTATATCTTAAAATAGCCTGAAACTCTGTGCTGTCTCCAGAAATACTCTTCTTCCAGATATCCACATAACTTGCTTCCTCATTTCCTTCAGGGCTCTGCTCAAAATGCCATTTTATCAGAGAGGCCTTCTGTGACCACCCTAAATAAAACAGAAAATAACCAGTCCTACCACTCCCAACATCCCCTAACCTGCTGTTTAACCTTTACTGCTTAGTACCATCACACATGTATATATACACATACACATATTAAATTTATTTTTGAACTAATTTTCTCTTGCCCACATTATTGTGTATATAGTATTTTTTCTTCTGTCCAGTAGGATGTATGTAATAGCATGAGGGCAGGAATGGGATCTCTTTTGGTCCGTTCTATATTCCTTTCCCTGGAACAGTGCCCAACCCATAGGAAATATTTAGTAAATATTACTTAATGAATAAAGGAACAAACTCAATTTTAATCTGTCACAGTCAGCAGTATCCCAGGCAGCAAACTTTTAATGCTGGCAGGGATCCAGTAGATAACCACAAAATGTCATAAATTAATTCCTCAGAGCATTTTGCTATTTCAATGTGTATAAATACTTAAACAGTCTGACTACGTGTCTGCAGGTCAAGACTCATCCTTGCGGAATGAGCTTGGCTCCCTTGTGATAGATGGAAGAGTTAGTTTTAAAAGGTAGAGCACGCAAGGACCCGAGTTGGATCCCTGTACCAAAAAAAAAAAAAAAAAAGGTAGAGCAATCAACAGCTTTCCTTATCACTAAGAGGAAGCCTATACATTCTATGTATTTTCTAAGTGTTTTAGGAGCTGTCATATAAAAATCTAACAGGCCTTAACTGCAGGAAAGTTTTCTTTCTTCCTTTTAAGGCAGTCTTCTGAGTCATCATTCTGTCTGGGAGTCTCCTTTACCTTTTCAGGACTCTGTCATAGTGAACGGTTGAACAAATAGGAAAGTGCTGACCCCTCACAGTGAACTAGTAAAACCTCTGATAACCCTAGCCTGGACTTACTCTTTTTATGTTTTATTTGCTTAGTTTGTGGAGGTTTCTGTAGAGAGGAACAGAGGAATTCTGTATGAAGTTTATAGCCTCTTTTAAACAGAGCATGAAATAAGATGTTGAGTAATAAATGTTACATAATCATAGTACATATAATTAGTGGGCAATTCTTTTGTGTTTTTTACTCCCCATCCCTTTGTTTTAATTTGGGTTTAAGTTTCAGGTGCAACTAGTTTATTTGAAAGCACTGTAAACAATGGCAGAAGAGTAGAGATGTTAGACAGGGAGATGAACAAAGATTTAGTGAGCCAGCTACTGTGGACAGCTGGAGATTGACCCTGAGGTATAGAACACAAACATCTTAGTTTTATCTAGGAACAAGGAGGTTGGGCTATTGATATACCAACCTCTGCCCATCATTAGTTGAGGTTGTGCTCCTAATGATGTCCATTCCTAGAGAATTCAGCTGACTTAACTCTCAGGCGGACATAGGATGTTAGCAGTTGGAGATCAGCCAAAGTATACAAAGCAGTAAGGCCTAAAGGATAGGATCAAGATATCAAGGAGAAAGCTAAGCCATGCTTCCTGTTCCTGTTAAAAAAGTAGACTACAGAGAGCCATTGCTTTATCTTTGCCCCTTCCATTCTTTTGCCTTTTAAACCATACCTTGCTCTGAAGCTGGCTCAGTGGTAAAATCTCTCTTTTCTTGAATCTTCACTTCAGTGAATCACCAGGCCTCTTATTCTTGTAATTGTACTCAGTGACTTCTACATATGGAATAGTTGTTGCTGACCTGCATATTTTGTATTTTCTACTTGATGTAAGATCTTAGAAATCCAGGTTATTGCTCTTCATATCTTTGTAAGCATCAGAGTGCTTCACAGAGCATTGAGTCCAGTTCTCTCACTTTGCAGGTGAGAAAATAGCCCACTGCTTTTTTCTACTGTGCCCTGGACCAATCACTGAGCCTTTTGAACAGGGACCGTACTGAGATTGAACCCTTTATACTGAGCTATATCCCTAACCCCTTTTTTGTTTTTTATTTTGAGACAGGATCTAGCTAAGTCACTATATCGCTCAGGCTGCCTCAACCTCCCAGAGTAGATAGGTGTGTGCTACCATGCCTGGCTTTCCCTAACCCTTATACATAGCCTTTGCTTTATCTTTAAACATACCTACCTGTAACTCATTGCTGTGTTCCCTTATGTGTTTTGAAGGCTAGTAAATTGACTTTTAAATGATTGCAGCGCCAGGCATGGTGGTGCCTGTAATCCCAGCACTTGGCAAGTTGAGGCAGGAGAATCACTACAAGCTTGAGACTAGCCTGGACTGCAGAGTGAATTCAAGGCCAGTCTGAATTACAAACCAAGACTTTGTCTCAAAAAAAACAAGATTGGGCTGGGGATTTAGCTCAGTGGTTCTGCTGCCTGCCTCGAAAGCGCAAGGTCCTGAGTTCGATCCCCGGTACCAAAAAAAAAAAGATTGCAAAGTACTTTGTACTAAATTTAATACTTGCGTGTTATGTGGTAAAGCATGAGCTTACATGTATATTGGATTTATACTGTCTTTGAAATTATTCACAATACCCTTTCAGGTAAGAAGTTTTCTTTAGAAAACAATAAGCCTTTTTTTTTCCTAGGGAAATAAGCAGATGGGGCCAAAAAGCAGGAAGTAATCATGATTTCAACTTAAAGTAAAAGCTTTGTTAATATTTAGAAATAAATGAGCTCCTAAAACTGCTTACTTGCTGCTGTTAAACAATGTTAGACAGTGCTTTTATGAGTCTAAATTAGACTAGATCTGGCATAGTATCCTTTCTGAGATCAAATGAACTGCCACATAAAAAGGGATTGGTTAGGCCCTGTGGACACTAACTTTTGACTGAGTTGGCAGTGGCTTCCTGCTTAAAGATGTCAGTTGGCAGCAGGTAAGTTCAGGATGCTTGGCCTTACATTAAAAAAAAAATTTTTTTCTGGGAAGCCCCTACTTTGTATTTTTCACATTGATTTTTTTTTTCAAATTGTAGTAAAATGTTCATAACATGAAATTTACTGTTTTGAATATTTAAAAATGTACAATTCAGGGCCAGGGATTTAGCTCAGGGGTTCCGCCGCCTGCCTTGCAACCACAAGGACCCGAGTTTGACCCCTGGTACCAAAAATTAAAAAAAAAAATGTACAGTTCAGAGGCTGGGAATGTAGTATGTGCAAGACCCTGGGGTCAATCCCGAGCATCAAAAAAAAGAATTTTAAAAATTAATAATAAAAATGTACAGTTTAGTGCATTAAGTACAGTCTCATTGTTCCATAGCTATTGCCACTATCCCTCTCCGGAATTTTTTAATATCCCAAACCAAAACTCTGTTCCCATTAAACACCAACTTCCTATTCTCCTCTCCCCCTAACTTTTGGCAATCACATCCTCCTTACTGTTTCTATGAAATCTCACTGCTCTAAATACCTCATGTAAGTGAAATTGCTTAATACAGTGTTTATTTCTTGTGTCTGCCTTGTTTATATTGTGTACTTTCTCAAGGCTTACTTGTGTTGTAGCATGTATTAGACTCTCCTCCCTTTTAAGGGCTGAATAATATTCCACTGAATGTATTACCACATTTTGTTTATCCATTTATGTCAATGGACAATTGGGTTGTTTTCACTTTTTGGCTATTGTAAATAATACTGTTATGAACATAGCTATATAACATACTATATAGCTATATAACATAGCTATATAACATATATAACATTTGTTAAAGTTCTTTCAATTATTGGATTTGCATCTAGGATTACAATTGCTGGGTTGTATGATATTTCTATAATTAACCTTTTGAGAAATTTTCTTACTGTTTTCTTCAGTAGCTGTACCATTTTACATTCCAATTAGCAATACTAGTAACAGGGTTCCACTTTGTCTTGCCAGTACTTGTGCCTGGCCTGGTCAGTACTTATGATGGTCTCTGTTTTTAGTAATAGCCATCCTAATAGTATTCAGTGATGTCTCATTGTGGTTTTGATTTGCATTTCCCTAATTATTAGTGATGTTGAACATCTTTCCCTATACTTTTTGGCCATTTGTATCATCTTTGGAGAAATGTCTGTTCAAATCGTTCACACATTTTTAGAGTTTAAGTCTCTCATAGTACACATAAAAAGATATATAGATATATGTCAATTTATTTTTATTATTGTATATTTATTGTTATTTACTATAACTGGATAGTAATATATCCAATTATAAAATAAAATATAAATTTTTTTGTCCCAACAGTACATCCTTTCAGGCTCTGATGACTTCAACCTGTACATGTGGAGAATCCCTGCAGACCCAGAAGCAGGTATGTCTTCAGTATATTAACCCACTGCTGTGGTTGGCTGTGTTGACTTTTGTCATGCAGTTCCCTGAGAGTACAGATCTGTCACATGGAGAAGATATGTCTCTTCCAACATAATAAAAGTTTATTAGAAAAATGACCAAAGGAAAGCTTAAAATAAAAATGATGCTTAGATTTTTTTCTCCAAAGAACTTTGATTTCAGACCTTATAGATCTTCCTATTTCCTGTCTCCCCATATTTCACACTTGGAATACTTTTATCTTGCTTTTACATGATTTTCCTTCATTACCCATCTCTGCATTTCTGCTTATAACTTTATAAACAGTTGTTAAGGCTCTTCCTTTCCTTTGGTCTTCCTGGCAATGTTAACTAAAGGGAGCTTTCTCTGTTGACAGACAGGTGCATTTCCTGAGGTTTTGAAAACCCCAGACATCAAAGAAATATTTCCACATTTGCTGTAGATATATTCTGAGAAAAACCTAAAACTTTTCATAAATTTAGATATAAGCCTCCTGAGCTTTCAAATAACTGAATCATCCATCTTTATTTTTGATAATAGTGTCCTCTGGTATTTTCTTACCTACTGGTAGAAAAATATCTTTAAATACTTAGGATATCTCAGTAGAAGAGATACCATCTGCTCTAGGTGGTACATGGCGTCAAGCTGGAAAATGGCCATTAGAAAAATACTTGAGGTCTAGGCCAAGTGTATGACACATTTGTCTATTGCTTAAAGTTGAAGGAAGGTTTTGACTTTGCCTGTTCTTGAATTGACAACATTGTTACCAAACATCTGCCTTTCAAAACCTGTTGGGGGCTACTTTTGGCACTAAACTATCCAGTTGCAGTGATTTCTTCTTACTAAAGAAGTTACAGCGGGGCATTTCCCCTGCTAGAATTTGGAAAGTATGAATGAAGCAGCACAATCAGATGGAACAGCAGCTGTCTGCCTGAACAAAGTGATTCTCTAGCACTAGAGGTTGTCCTGGATTGTCTACTACCCCTGCAAATACTAGACTGATTAGTTGAGAAATGGTTGTAATTGTGTATTTTAGCTGATCTTAAAAAGCTTTTAAGTAGTAAGTAGATGGTGACTCCTAACATAAAGAGTGAGTAATCCCCCCTCCTTTCCAGGACTGTTTTCTGGAATGTTTCACTTTTCTATAAAGAAAGAATAGGAAAAAATTAGTATTGTGGGTTTTTTCCTCTCCCTCGTCATTTCTGTAGTGCCTTAGAGTTTGGACCAGTGTTACAATAACAGCACAACAGACATTTATTTTCTTGCAGTTCTGGAGAATGTAAGTCTAAAATCAAGGTGCCAGCAGTTTGGTTTCTCCTGAGGCACTGCTCATTGGCCCACGGGTGCCCACTTTCTTGCTGTGTCCTCACTTTTTCCTCAGTGGATGTGTATCCCTGGTATTCCTTCCTCTTCTTATAAGGCAGGTGTCCTCTTCCAGATGTTCTTCAGAGATAAGACCCTCAAGTTTATTTAGTAGTTCCTCAAAGAAAAGATGTTGGTTCTTTTGCTGTACTGATTTCTCTGCATTCACTGTACGTCTGTATAAAGATTAATTTAAACTCTCTGGCTCATTGATTCTAAAGTGTGTTACATGGTACTTCAGAAAGTACACCCAGTATCACATAAGCTGTTTTGGAGGCCACAGAACCCATGAACTACTTAAATTAGAGTTGCCTAGAAACCCATTCTTTCCACACAGGTTGTGGCTCGTCCTGGGTGCTGGGGTTTCTGTGTACATAGGACAGGACCTTATGATTATCTTTGTTGGATTCACTAAGTAGTTGTTGAGTTTGTTTTTTCTGTCTTTCTCTTCAGCATTACATCATAAATCACAGAAAGTCTGTTCCTTTGATCATCATCTTACTCTGCTTATAACTAAAGCACCCTTTAAGACTATTTTTAGCAAGTCTCTGCTCATTTGGGGGTTCAGTCTTCCTGCCACTATTCTGACAGAACCCAGCCACATTCTCTTCTTTTTTCTTATTCATGAATCTTTCTGCTTTCTATGCTTTCTTGTTCTTTTTTCTCTACTTGTGTATTCATAATCAAGTACTTCTTTTTATTAAAGTAATACTGCTATATGATTTTTTAAATCAAATAATATTATAAAGTGCATTTTAGAAAACACAGCAGTCTAGCTCTCCCTGTAACACATTCATAATGTTTTTGAATTTTGGACATTCTCTATTGAATTCCTGCTGTTAAAATTAGTTTCCAAAAAGAGGAATCTTATCTCCTACATGGAGGGTATTTGCCTGGCAGTTAAAACTGTGGTTCTAAGAGCCTAATAAGGGAATGAAGCTGTGGGTCTTATAGATTTATATACACATTTTTGTCTAATTCTACCCTGAGCTATGATGCATGTCCCTATTTTAAAGAGTCATTAGGTCAACTTAATTTAGTAACCTTCAGGCCTCTACAGTGGACCCTTGACTTGCGAACTCAATTTATTCACTACAAGGGCTGGTTGTAACTCAAGTTGGTTGTAAGTCAAGACTATTTGTCTCATAAGAAACCATGGAAATACCCATAACTTGTTCTGAACCTCCCAAAGAACCCTTTAACCTGTTCATAATATAATAAAAGGATTGTATAATGTACATAATTTACCAGAAACACCAATAATTTTCTTAGTATATTCACCCAAAAGTTATAAAACATGCCTAGTTTACCAGAAACAATTTCATACTGTACTCACCATTCAAGTTGACAGCTTTGGCTTGCAGGAAGGGAGGATGAAATGGAAGGTGGTTATGGTTTGGAAGGAGAATCCCCTTCCATAAGAACATCAGGAATCTGGCTCTCTGGTATCCTTTCTCTCCTTGGGAATATCTGTAGCCTACTAGGACCTGCTTCTGGCTCACTAGGTCTCAACTTTTTCAGAAATGAAAACTGGCCTAAAGTTGTCTGTTTCTATCTTTTCTTTAACACTGTTCTATAGTGCAACATGACATTGTCATTAAGCGAGTGAATGCAATGATTGGCTTTTTCTCTGTCTGGGTGGGTCTTCTCTACAGATGTTTGTAGCTCTGTCCATTTTCTCAGGATTTCCTTTAATTCAGAAGAAGAACTTTGCTGCACTGATTGTTGATACTCCCCCTTTTCTTCAGAAAGGTCCTCAGCTGGCTAACCAGAGGTTAGCCAGAAGTTGCCAAAGTTCTTCTGAGTTCCACCAGTTCCTCAACATCACCACTGTCTACCTGCAAGGCTATGGGCTGTGCTATAGTGACAGTGTCATCAACCACAGGGACAATTGAAGGCTCAGGTTCCTCTACACAGCCTACAAAGTCTCTCTTCTATATAATTTTAGGGCATACTTTTTTCCAAGCAGATCTCAGTGTCCTTAGACATTAGCCCAGTATTTTTCAATTAACACCACACAGGAAATGATGTTGTAATGTTCCTTCCAGAACCCCTTAAGGGTTAAATCTGTATCTGAGACCATCTGGAAGCACTTTAGGAACAGTTCTTTGGTGTATAGATTTTTTTCGGTTGGGGGGGGGTATACCGGTAATCAAATTGAGGACCTTGCACTTGCGAGGCAGACACAGGGCCACTGAGCTAAATCCCTGGCCCTGTAGGTTCTTGAAGTTAGCTATAACCTGCTGGTCCATAGGCTGCCATAGAGGAGTTGTATTAGGTGGGAGGAACTCAACAGAGCCATGGGAATTCTTCAGCCAATTCTTTCAAACCTTGTGGGTGAGCAGGAACATTGTCCATGATGAGCGCCTTGAGTGATAAACCTTTGTCCTCTAGATATTTCTTAACAGTGAGACAGAAAGCTTCCCTGATCCACTCAAGAAAAAGTACTCTTGTTACCCAGGCTTTTTCATTAGATCTCCACATGCACCCTAACCTGTTCTTCATGGCTTTATGTTTTCTGAACAATCTAGGGGTCTCAGAGTGATAAACCAAGAGAGGCTTTATCTTGAGGTCACCACTCGCATTGGCACATAGCATTAAGGTTAGCCTATCCCTTATAGGCTTGTCACCTGACATTTTCTTCTCTTCCTGGGTCATGTATATTCTCCTGGGCATTTTCTTCCAGGAAAGACTAGTTTCATCAGAGTTGAAAACTTGATGAGAGCAAAAGCCATTTCTCTACATCATCATTTCAAAGTTGTGTATGTAATTTTCAGCAGCCCTTTTCTCAGCACTGACTGCCTCCTCATGTGCCTAGTTACACTAGGAACCCCAGTCCTCGCTTTAAAATTGTGAAATCACCCCTTACTGGCATAAAATGTTTCACCATTATCACTTGTCGATGGATTTTCCTTCATGAGACCTGCATTTGTAGTTCTAGCTTTTTCACAAATTATAGACTCAGGCTATAACCTGCCATCTGCCTTTAGTTTATCCATAATAATAGCCTTTCTACCTCATCTAACCGTGTTGATTGTGACTTAGTAATTTGAGTAATACCTTTAGCAACAGTAGCTTCCTTATACAAATCTTTTTTCTGTTAAGATTGTTAAAATGGCAGTTTTCAACCTGCTGTACATATTATTGAGATTGGTCACATGAACACCACTCCCATATTTCTCCATATTTTCCTTCTTTCTTTGTAGAAAGACTGCTTTCTTTACCTTCCCTTCCTTTAGCCTCTTTTCTAGCTTTTTGGAGGCCATTTTGATAGCAGTAATCATAGCGATTGTATAAAGCACTGACCAAAATCATGTTCACAAACACGCGCATCTGTGCTCAGACTGAAGCTTACATACACTTACGTATACTTTTCTGGCATTGCAAATCTTTGTCTACACAGCTGGCATTCAGGTTGTAACTCTAGACTTTGGTCATAAGTTAAAACTAAAATTCCAGTTGTAACCCAAATTGTGTGTGAGGCTGGTCATAACTTGAGGGTCCACTGCACTTGTGTTAGGTGAGCATTTTCCTGGGCAGGTGGGCTCCAGCAAGGAGTGTGATGGCATCACTGCTCTTTGTACATGTTTTCAACTTATCTTGTTTTCAGCTTCTCTCTTC